TAAGATATATAACACAATGCCATTTGTGTAAGTTAATAACACATTGAAAACAACAATACACATCATGTAAGAGCACATAAAAACAAATGATTTGCATAAAACATATTAGAATGAATGCCACAAGGGAATATATAAATAGGAATAGGGCCTTGTATACACTAGTGCTCATAATGGACCATGAGCTGAGGTGTATGATTAATGCAACCCTCAGTACAGGTTCAATTTGAGTCTGAATTATACTTGGTCCAGGATTCAAGCCTATCTACAAGGCAAGTAGGGACGAACCAATATGGTTCTACTTATAGGAGCTCTTTGGAAAATAATAAATCCTAAGGAGATAGAGAAAGAAAATCACCTGGGTTTCATTACGGGGCATGGAGCCATTCTGAGTATGTGGGTGTCAGTAGGGATAGGCTTGGGGCAGTTAGTCTGAGTGTGGGATAGTGGGGGTCATTCAGATAGTCCTCTGACTCCAGCCCTTGAAGATGCATGGCTCAACCTGGGGATAGGGTCTGCAGTGGGGAGAGAGGAAAATCAAGAAGGGAGGTTTCAGGATGTCCAGGCAGTCCTGCTGTGTGGCTGGGGTCCCAGCAGGAGTCCAGGCTGTGAAGTGTGGCAGGGAGTCAGGGTAGCTGGCAGGACTACTTCCTGAGCACATATCAGACACTGAGGAGGTGGGATGGGGACTCTCAGTACAGACTGAAGAAGGCTTTGGGAGGGTGTGTGGAGGTGGGGCAGAGGTTGCCATATTTCCTGAAAAGTTATAAGGAAAAATCCAGAAGATTACCAATTTGTGACTACTGTTGGGCCTGAATTTCTATCTCTGAATGTGATGTCACCCTAGGACATCCAGTACAGACCGTGGTAGGCAGAATAACGAACCCCAAAGATGTCCATGTCCCAATCCCCAGAACCTTTGGATAGGTTGTATTACATGGAAAATGCAAATTAAGATTGCTACTCAGGTGATCTTAAGGTGGGGAGATTATCCTGAATCATCAGGTGGGCCCAGTGTAATCACAAGTGTCCTTCAAGGAAGAAGATGGAGGAAGAAGAGGACCAGAGAGATGGCAGTGTGAGCAGGACTCAGCTCAATATTTCTGACTTGGAAGATTCAAGAAGGGGCCATGAGCCAAGGAATGCAAGTGGCTTCTGGAAAAAGCAAAGAAACGTATTTTCCCTTAGACCTTCCAGAAGGAACACGGCACTGCCAACAGTGATTTTACCCAGTGAAACCCATTTTGGACTTCTGATCTCTAGAATTGTAAGAAAATAAATAATTTGTATTGCTTAAACTACTAATTTGTTACACCAACAATAGGAAACGAGTATACAGATAGACAACTAGATTTGTCATGGGAAGACTTCTTGAAAGTTAGATGAGATTTAAAGACAGAGAGAGACAGTGAGTCACCATAAGGAGACACTTTTCAAAAATGGGAATGATGTTCAAGAGATATATTGAGGACCGGAGAAAGAACAGGAGGAGAAACTGAGGCCAAATGGTACATGACTTATCTAAAAAACACACTTCTCCATCCCTTCAAAAATATCATTTAGGTTCTTTGATGCTGAGGTTCTCAGCTAGGGCCGTAGACACAGAGGGATGTATCTGACCCATCTGTATAGAGTCTACAGCTAGTGGAGTTGGGACTTGGATGCAGGTACACAACACCAAATCCAATGCTTTTTCCAATGCATGATCTTGCTTTCAAAAAAATAAGTCACCTCTCACAGCTGTTGGCTTTGACATCATTCTTCCGGAGTGAAGTACCATATCCCCAGGGCTGAGACCACCATGTCCCAGACTTAGTTGCATCTGATTGTGGTAGAGAGGGACAAAGATCGCTGGCCTTGGACACAGACTTAGGTGCCCATTCAATTCCTTCTTCCTGTTACATGAGGCCAGTCACTCTCCTTCTCCGCCGCAGTTTTCTTAACTGTAAAGTGGAGGTGATAACTCTCTCTCCTTTCTGAGTACCTGGGATGATCAGTGATAATAAATACACATTTTTGGACGCAGAGTTGACACTCAAAAATCATTAAAGTTAATTTTCTTGCTGTATCTATTATACACCAAATAAAATCTCTTTAAAAAATCAAGTCTTAGACTATGAAAATCAAATATAAAAGGTGTCCTTTCACTTCTTTAACAATGGTACATATGATGGAAATATTGCATTTCGGATAAGAAATGATTCTGCTGCCTCATTGCAGCATTTTAAATGAAACCTTTCAGAAATACCTGCATAGAACTGGTGCCAAAGGAAAAAATTTTGATTTTGTAGGGAAGAGCTGAAGTCATTACATTTATGAAGCTTTATAAATGTCATTCAAACACACCATTTTATTTTCATTTGCTATTGAAGGCTTTACTTATGCAAATCATGACAAATGTTAAGGAAACCAGCGTTTCCTCTGGAATGCTAATATAACCAGAGAGAAGGGAGAAAGAATTACTTCTGAAGGAAAAATCTATATTGCAGCTCTTCGAGTCAGATAAAAATGAAGCTTCGAGAAAACCTCATTAATTAGGGCTCTACTCATTTAGATATTGTAGAAAAAAAGAAAGGGACTAGAATGCATTTCCTTTTCTTACAGGGAGGGCAAATTAATTGCATAAATACAATTTCAAGGGAAATGTTGTTTCTTGGCTGATGGTATAATACACTTAACAGCTTTCAGGCATCTTGGGGTACTTTGTAATTATTAGTTTTATTTATCAATTTATTTCTTCATTCTCGAATTTAGACATTCTTCATATATTCATTTGTTGGGTCATATTTTCATTCATGTATTCATTCAATAATCATTAAGAACCTGCTATACTCAAAGTGCTGTGGTAGGCATTGTGGGAGAAAGAACGATGGATTCGATGTGAGTTTTGTTCTCAAGGAGTTCATAGTCTGAGAAGGATGACAAAACGTCTACTTAAGAAAGGCCAAGAGGGACTGAGGTGGAAGACACACTTTAGTCTCTCCACCCATCCCTGTCTCTACAATCTAAAAGTGACAGAAGTTATATTTTTGAAAAGTTAGCAATAGTACTGAATGCCTTTCATGGGCAAGGCATTTTTGAGAAATTCCTAAAAACTGAGAAGGCAGATGCAATTAGATGGCAGGACCAAGTCACAGTCAAGAGGACATGCTGCAAATTGTAGAAGGAGCTGTGGGTATTCCATACTCTGAAGAGAAGGGCATCATGGGTAGGAACCAGGTGTAGTGGCTCATGCCTGTAATCCCAGCACTTTGGGAGGCTGAGGTAGGAGGATTGCTTGAGCCTAGGAGTTCAAGACTAGTCTAGGCAACGTAGTGAGACCTCCTATCTACAAAATTTTTTTAAAAAATTAGCTGGGCGTGGTGGTGCATGCCTATAGTCCTAGCTACCTGGGAGGCTGAGGTGGAAGGATTGCCAACCTGGGCAACAGAGTGAGATCCCCACTCAAAAAAAAAAGTGAGAAGGGCTCTGGGGCAACCGACTGGCAGTGTAATTGGTTGGTATATTCAAAGAAGGGAGGCCAGTGTCTGACCTCTGTGGGAGGGGATGGATGTGTGTGAGTTCTGGGTTCTGAAGGCAGAGCATGGCAGGGCCCCTGGGACTGGCACCCAGCACAAGTAACTCCACCCCAGGAGACTTGCTCCTGGAATATTGACCATCTGTACTCCTGCTTCCCCTTCACCATTGGAGGTAGCAACCACTCGGATTCTATTTCTCAAACATTTATTTGACCAAGGAGACACAGAGAGAATAGCTAGTCAGATGCTGTTGGGTTCTGGAGCTCTAGGTCACACAGAGGTTGGACCATGAAAATCCAAAACCACAAGCAAGCTGAACTTAGGGAAGCAGAAAATAAGGGCTAGGTGAAAATAATGTAGATTCAGAGAGAAGCGGAGATAGAAGAAGAGAGGAGAGAGAGAGAGAGAGAGAGAGAGAGAGAGAGAGAGAGAGAGAGAGAGAGAATGATAACTCTTTAGTTCTCTTGGGCATCAGATCATGGATCTGTATGGATCTGGAATGGGTTTCTTCAGATCTTCTCTGACTGTATCATAAATTTCTCTTTTCAAAAGCTGAAATGAATGGACTTTGTTTGCTTGTTTTGGTTCTAAAGAATTCCTGATTAAGACATAATCTAGGGGGAACCCCTCATCAACAAGGGTACCTGTATAGTGAACATTTGTATACCTAACCCTGAATTGTACCCCACATCTTTAGAATAAAAAAAATATAAGTTAAAAAAAGACATAATCTACCCTGATTCAAAGAACACCCTCATGGTTATACAGTAAAATAGCTCTAGAAAGTCTTGATATTTTCCTTCTCTTTCTCCTTTTAATATCAATAAAATTAGACTCATGAGTGTGTGTCCCCTGGGGATATAAAGTAAAATCAGCCTTGCATCACAAAGAAGATTGACATAATTTATTTTTCCCCTTTTGAACCATACACTGTCCTCAGTAACTCAGTGGTTACTTCTTGACTTTTAGATAAACAACAAATGTTTTTTTTAAGTATAAATAAATCTGAAATATTGCTCGAGACATTTCTTGTTTTCCAGAAGTTCAAATTTAACTGGGCATCCTGTATTTTTTTTGTAAAGTCTGGAACCCTATCCTTGCCTCGGACTAGAACCTCTTTTTAATATCTTTCTCATACCACAATTATTCATACCACAAATATTTTTTGTTCTTCTCACCCAACAATCATTTTTTTACTAGACCCTGAGAGCCTTGAAGGCAGAGATTATTCTTTATTTTTCTCTGAATCTCTACCTCCTAACACAATGCCTGAAACAAATGTTTTTTCAAGCAAACAGAACTAACAATTCTCAGGCTTGCAAAGTCTGATTGAAGCCATCAGCCCCCCTTTGGCCTCAATTTAACAAATTTTCTGGACTTAGGGAGAGAACCCTAAGGTGGGTTCTGTGATCTCACGATCATACTAACAGAGCCACCTCCAGAACCCATCAAAAATATCTGTCTGAGAACTAATGTACACAGTACCTTGCAGATGTCACTCCATTGCCCAGGACCATTGTCATTGATGGCTCTAACTTTAAACAGATATTCGGTGTTGGGGGTCAGGTTGTGCAGCTCCAAATTCTGCTGCATTATGTCCTGGATTTGTCCACAGAGCTCCGTTTGTACGTTGTTAGGTGAGGAAGTATTGATTTCATAGAACTCCACCTCAAAAGAGTCCACATCTTCTGTTGGGCATGTCCAGTAAACCTGTAGAAGAAATAACATTTCAGTGTGGTACTAGGACATACCATTCAACTTTCTTTCCCATATGTGTTGTTGACCATCTGTAGGGTAGGTTGAAGTTGGCCCCATCCCTTGTAGCTGCTGAAGACTTTGAGTTAGATCATGTGCAACAGTCCTGAAAGGTTTGATATGATGCTTGTAATGAGTTTCACAAACAGAAGAATGATCTTGTAGGATCTGTTACCAGCAGTCTACATGGAGATGACAATTGTCTTCCTGATACCACTAATAAACATAGTTGCCATTTATAGAACACCTATTATGTATCAGATTCTGTGTCAGGCATAACCATCCCTAACTAATTGAATCCTTACAACCACCTGGAAGATAGATTGCATTATCCCACTTTACAGATGAAGCTTAGAAATGTTACTTTTTTTTTTTTTTGAGTTGGAGTCTCACTCTGTCGACCAGACTGGAGTGCAGTGGCTGCTCCTGGCTGCTCCCGGCCACCGCAGCCTTGACCTGCTGGGCTCCGGTGATGCTTCTGCCTCAGCCTTCCAAGTAGCTGGAACTACAGGTGCGCGCTACCACACCCGGCTAATTTTTGATTTATTATAGAGATGACATCTCGCCAAGTTGACAAATCAAAGGGTCACAGAATACTGGAAAATGAAAAGTTCATCTATTCCACCCTCTTATATTATACACAGGAAAATAAAGTTCTGAGAGGTGAAATCACTAATCCAGGTAATAAGGAATATATGTTCACACTTAAAGTATAAAGTATCAGCTCTTGTGAAGCGACTTATTAACAAGTTTTAATTAGCAGATGGTGTCTGGCATAGAAATATTTTATAATTGTATTTTTTTTTTTTTTTTGAGTTGGAGTCTCACTCCGTCGCCCAGACTGGAGTGCAGTGGTACGCTCCTGGCCACCACAGCCTTGACCTGCTGGGCTCCAGCGATACTTCCACCTCAGCCTTTCAAGTAGCTGGAACTCCAGGCACACACTACCACGCTCGGCCAATTTTTTATTTATTTTAGAGATGAGGTCGCACAAGTTTCCTGGGCGGGTCTCGAACCCATGGACTCAGGCAATCCACTCACTTTGGCCTCCCAAAGTTCTGGGATTACAGGCTGAGCCACTGAGCCTGGCTGGATATAATTGTATTTTTTAAACAGCTATCTCATGCTTTTAATAAAATTTTAATTTAAATATTATGATTTTATAAAATTAACTTATAGTTTTATGAGTCTACACATTTTTAATTTTAATACATATGATTTATAATTACTTTAATATATTTACAGTTTTAAAATGTTAACAAATTTATAAAATGTAATAAAAACTAGCATATTTTAATGATTATCAGAACAAACATACTTATCGTAACATACTTGAAAAATATTAAAAAAGTATAATAAAATAAAATAAACATCACTTATAATCCCACAATTCAGTTAATTCATTATTAATTCTTCATAATTTTGGAATATACACAAACACAAATATATGTATATAATTTGGATTATATTGCTTTGATTCCTGATTTCTTTCACTTATTATATTTTACATATTTTCCTATATTACTAAAAATCCAGGAAAGAATCATATTTAAAAACTGGCCCATAAATGATTTAATCCTTCTACAGTTGAGCATTTAGTTTTTTTCTGATTTTATACTGTAATAAATACAGGCTGAAATGAACACTTCTGAGCATGAATCTTTGCCTGGATTTTTAATCATTTCCTTGGAAGGGATTTCTATAAATAAACTTGAGTTTTAAAAAATCTCTAAGATTTTAACAATACATATTGACAAGTTATAAGGCTAAGTCTAAGAATATTTTCTGTGCTAAAATCCTAAAGATGTGAGAGAGATGTCAAAACAGACTTAATCTTCTGCATTATTGAGCACTATGATTCCTGTGTAAAGTCTGTTTCATTGTCTTAAGATAGGGATGGTAGTACTTTTAGGTTTTCTCTCTTGATGGTTAAAGACTTGACTTGATTGTTTTGTGTAGGCTGCTTTCTTGAGCTCCTCCAGCGATGACTAATAAGTGGCATGTGGTGACTATTTCCCAAGCCCAGTTATAGAGCAGACACCACCAATCCTTTGGCTACAGAGCAAAGATCCTGCCAGCTTCCCAAGAGGTCTCAGTTGACATGGAGATGAGACCTTCTGCCATCCCAGAGCTAATGTCACATACGCTGTAGTCCTTGCTGATCTGGTATCACTTGGAAATGAAGTTCAGCTGCTCAGTTATAGACATTGCTTATGTAAAAGGAAGACACATTTATTGTGTCTGATAACCCATGGCACGATCTATCCTGCAAAGTATGATCATTCTTAGTGTCAATTATAGACTTCAAAACATAGATTATGATGTCTCAAGGGAATAGGAAAGTAAAGCTTGGTTTGTGTCTGGACTTCATTTTCTTGTGTTAGGCTTTTGATACTAAAATGTAGTCTGTAGACAGCAGCATTGACAACACCTGGAGGTTTATGAGAAGCAATCTCAGGTTTTACTGAAACCTAATAAAATAGAGTCTGCATTTCCAAGATCTCTAGGTGCACATTAATGTTTGAGAACCACTAGTTTAGTCTTTCAAGGATGCTAAAAGTCATTGGGGGTGTTTTCAAATTATGTGGGGGCAAAAGACAAACTCTACCATATGGGAGCAGGCCATGGGCTGACCCTCTAGAGAAATCCAAGAGAAGGCAACATGCACTTTAATAGAGTATCTAGTTGCATGTTAATCTTTTTTCCTTCCTGAACTTTAATAAAGTGTTCTATTAACAGATCAATCTGGCCTGGCACAGTGGCTCAAGTCTGTAATCTCAGCCTGTTAGAAGGCTGAGGTGAGAGGATTGCCTGACCCCACAGGTTCGAGAACAGCCTGGGCAACTTGGCGAGACCTCATTTCTACAATAAATTAAAAAATTAGCCAGGCATAGTAGTGCGTGCCTGTAGTTCTGGCTACTTAGAAGGCTGAGGCAGGATCGCCGGAGCCTAGCAGGTTGACACTGGGGTGGCCATGAGATGCCACTGCACTCCAGCCTGGGCGACAGAGTGAGACTCCAACTCAAAAAACACAGACAAAACAGTTCAATTTAGGTTCAGCTGGATTTGAAAAGGCTATCTGTTAATGAACAGGCCACTTATCCATGTTAGGTCAAGAGGGTCAAAGGGGAGTCACGTCCCTTGAGGCCAGGTGACGGCATTTGTAGAGGTCTGTAAGAGACTCCACTCTCCACCCTCTCTTTCAAAAAAAGTTGAATTGCAGAAGGGAAGAGTTGGAATTCCGTTGGAGAGTATCCAATCTTTTTGAACCATGAGGAAACTGGATATTTTCTTTAGCAAAGGTAGCAGTTTAGAGAAATCACAAGTGATAGTAACAGAGCCTGTGTTTCCAACTTCAGTTTCTGTGCTGACTCTATTACAGCATTTCCTTTGGGAAATAGTACACTTCCAAGCAGTCTCTTCAAGTTTCTTTGGTTCCCAAATTGGGTTCTCTTTCAACAGAGAAGCTGCCTTTGGAGTGGGGAGAGACTTTCAGAAGTATTTCTGACTAGATACATTGTTTGGTTTAAGCTAATCTTGGGTTACTTTAGATTTCAGGAACTTATCCCTTTTGAATGGGCTGACCAAGAAGAGTCCAGAAGAGTAGATATGAGTGACCAGGCCCTAGAGATCAAAGAGGTATGTGCAACCTTTCCCAACTACCTTCTTCCATTCTGTGCCCCACAACCTTCCACCTTCTCCACTGGGCCCAGAGCCTTTCTTACCTTGGCAGCTCTTGGGTACACCAGAGTCTGGTAGATAACAATCGGGCCTGGGGTCTTCACAGAGCTGTCATTGAACGAGTACCAGTTGTGGAAGCTGCTGCTGTTCTGTGCAGGCTGGCTGTCCGCCGTAGCATTCCAGTAGGTGTAGAAGCCATCTGTGGTTTGGGCGGGTGAGGCTGACTGGGGTCTCCGACCAGCCTCCAGACTCATCTTGGCCTTCTCGCCAGTGTTGAAGGACAACAAGGAGGAGCTTCGCTGGTATATCTGCCGGTTGCCGAAGCTGTGGGTGCTGAAAGTGACCTTCCTGGCAATCATCGTTTCCGAGTGCATGGGATAGGGGGAGGGCAGCGAGTCCCCCGAGGAGTTCACCTTCTTGGGTCCCGTGGGAAAGAGCTCCTGGATGGCATTAGAGAGCTCTGCAAAGTCCAAGGGCATGCAATTAACTGAGTGCAGCCGGAGCTGTGGGTCAGGCCTGTAAGTACTCAGAATGCCGTCCTCGATCTGGTCCACAAGGATCTTGGCAGACTGCAGGAACGCCACTTGGCCAGTCTCCTTCAGGGCTTCCTTGGAGTAGGCGATCAGACCATCCATCTCATTCACTTTCATGGTTGTCACGTAAACATACTTTTCAATCTCCTTCTGCCTGGACACTTCTAGATTCTCTATCTGCTCCATGATGGTTTTCTCCTTCTCGTGTAGGATGCTGCGCAACTTGAGAAAGCCATTTCTGATCTCCTTTCGCTTTGCCTCCTTGCCAGCTTTGAAGTTGTTCTTTAAAATGTTGAATTCCATCAGGTCATTATCAATTTCATATCGGACTGAAAAACAACCAAGTTAGTTACTGTTAAAATTTTTACCTCCCCAAGTGTTAAAGCCAGTAGCAAACTGGAGCAAGCTACTTTGGGCTCAAAGGAAGTGAGTGGAGGGGGAGGAAAGGAACACGTAGTTGGACTGAGACAGGCAAGAGTAGGTTTATGAAATGAATTTGGCTTTCCTCAGTACACTCTTCCCTTTCTCCTCCTCTGATACTTCCCTCAGGTATAACCAGCCATCCATCCCTGGTATACTTCTATCTTGTAACAGTAATCTCTGTGGCCTTGGGTCTGAGGTTGAAAGTTCAAGGCCTCCCTTGATATTGATTTTCACCAGATCTCAATATCCTGCAATTTGGCCTTCAGAAGAGGGAAAGTCACAAAGTGAGTGGGCCCTGCTCTTCCCTGTAGGGAAGTTAAGCTTTTGCAGTGGTAGGAGAAAGAGCTACACTTCTGATGACTACTTCTAAATGCTACCTTGCCTCATTCACCAAGAATCCAGCCTTAGGCAACAGTCGAAAATCAGCAGACTTTTCCTTCATTGAGCTGGCTCTTACACACCATTCCCCCCCAGAGGAAAGGGTCTGGTCACTCTAGGGTCTTGGTCTCTCTCTCTCATGGGTCAGCTATGCTGCTTCTCTTGCCTTTCTCCCAATTCCTTTCAAGAAAGGGTAGACTGTCACACTTCAAGGAGAACTGATTCATCCTGCATCCTCTCACATGGCGTTTGGATTTTAAGTTCACTCAGTCAATCATTCAACAAATATTGACTGGACTCCTGTATAATGGGACATTTACTGGACATGCCTTTCTAGGGATACAACGATGAATTTGAGAGGACACCTGTGCTCAAGGCACTCATTAACCCAAAGATACTACAGTTGGAGGGTGCTACAGAAGTTTGAGCATGTGGCACAGTCTGTGTGTGAAATGAACACCCTTATTGGCTTTAAAGGATTTTAGGCATTAGGAAGAATTTGAAGAATGTCAGCCTTCTGTGGCTTATGCTATAGGTTAGATCCTCCTCATGAAAGGCTAACTCTGCAGTGAATTGACGGGCTATAATCCTCACCAAATTTTACTCAGGAGTGGGTGTGGTTAAATATTTTTGCATTTGGTTCTTAACATTATCCTGGGTCCACAGGAAGCTGGATTTCTATGGGTGGTGGCCATTGTCCCAGTGATGCACATTTGAGTATGAGAAACCCTAGAATTCTGTCAGACTCTGAGAACAGGGACCACAGCTACCTTGGTTACCACTGTGACAGTGACGTGTAGAAGTGATCAAAGGTGTTTGTTGTGTAAAAGCCATTCTTTCTTGTTGTCTAACATCTCTGGGGTGAAGCCAGCAGCGTCACTCTCTAGATGACTCTCTGAAGGCCCATGTTCTCTGTCCACCTCCTCCCTCGTACTGGTCCTGAAAGGATGGCATGATGAAGGTGGGGCTGAATGGGAAACTATTAGGGTGCAATTTCTGTGGTTTCGAGAAGTGCTCCTTGCCTTCCCTAAATGCGAGCCCTACCGTGACTCATGGTAGCTGAAATTCTACTTTGCCCATTATTTTCTTTATTGATTCAATAGTTAACTACTGTCAAAGATACTTGGAGAGAAAATGTCTTGCTTTGTTATGGTTTAGTTAAGCTTTATGTAGAGCGAAGTCCTAAGAGGTAGAATAAAAATTTCTTAAATGAGGAGAAAGAGGCAGCTACAAGAGGGGAAGAAAAGGAAGAGGAGGATGGAAGCAGCCTTGTAAGCTTTACAAATATGACAACTTTGCAAGAGTGATCTTAGAGTAAAATCAAATTAAGATATCTTTCAGGCAATACACTTAAAACTAGCTACTATTTATCACACATTGATTATGGACTAGATCCATATATATAATATGTATTGATTATTATCATCTATTATACACATTGTAGACCAGAGCTGTATATTATCATATATTACATATATTGTCCTATGGGGAAGATATTGTTCCCACTTATAGACGAGGAAACTAAGGCTCAGAGAGGGTAAGTGACTGCCCAGTGTTGCACAGCAAATAAACAAGAGAAACTAGGCCCTGTTCCTAATCCTATTTGTCTAACTCCAAAGCTTATATTCTTAATTGCTCTAGCTGTTGTTCTCTGCCCTCTGTGAGCACCAGAATCACCTGGGGACCTTTAGAAAGATTCTGAATCAATGGGGTTCAGTAATCCAGGTGAGGCAGTTGTCAGCTGGGTTTAGAATCAAATCCAGAGACTCTCCTGGAATCATGTTAAAAATGCAAATTCCGATACAATAGTCCTGGGGTGGGGCCTGAAATTCTGTTTCAGGTGATGCCAAAACTGCTGGTCCTTGGACCACACTTAGAGTGGCAAGAGCTAAATTTCTGAGCTCCATGAGCTCAGTGGTGCTCAGCCTTGGCTGCAGAACAGAACCACATGGGAGCTTTTTAAAAATCCCTGGTACTCGGCCTGCACTTCTGGGGATGGGACAATGGCATCAGTTGTTAGTAAAGCCCCAAAATGGATCTTCTCCCTAGGGCCTAGGGTTTCTCAGTGTGTATTCTCAGTGTGTATGCTTGCTTTTGGGTAACCTGGGGTTCCACTAAAAATGCAGATTCATGACACCGCCTAGGAAAGTGAATGAAGTGTTCAAGAATAAGTTTGAACGCTAAAGATTTTTGTTGTTGTTGATTTTTCAGCAAGGATGGACAGGTTAAGCTTTTTTTTTTTTTGTGCCTATAGCCAATAGCCAATATCTAATTTACCTATTATCCCTTCTTCCCTCCTGATTCCTGGGCTCCCTGGAATTTGAACTGGTGTTGTTTCCCTGACCTTGAATTGAACTTTGCTATCTGACTTTCAGTTGCCCTCAACTTTGACAAACATCTTAGGTCTCCACCGAGTGAAGGAGCAAGACTTCCTACAGCTGTATGAGAGTCACAGTGGCTATAGGCAGAAGCTCCTTTCCATGCTGAAGCCCCAAAGAATTAAGCCAAGCCCAGCCCTGGGGAGACAGTGAATCCTACCTCAAGAGAACCCTTTAGAAACCAACCCATTTACTTGGCAGCATGGCTCCTACAGGGGTTCTTTAATATAAAGTCTTCCCTGGCTGCTGGTTCCAAAACTGAATAAACTAGTCTTTTGACAAATTCTCCGGGTATGTGGCAATTGAGAAAATCAAGATAATCCTGAAATAGCCATGCTGGTCAGAGGTTCTGGGTGACATGATCATTAGCAAAGTTTATCTCTGACCCACTTTTATATCCAGTGGGACATTTCTGTGCAGCTCAGGGAAAAGCCAACTCCCTCCCTAGTGTTTACTATACGATGAAGGCTGAAATATCTGACAAAGGAAAAGGCCTGGGTGGATCTGGTGCACTTTGGTCACTGATGATAGGTCACTCCTTAAGAAAATGGACTCTGGGTGGTGGTGGTGGTGGTGGTGTTGACTCTCCCTTCCCCATCAGTCTCTCTATTTTTGCATTCTGGTCACTGCTGAGTACAGAGTGGTTGTCAGATGATTGTTGTGGAATTAACATGGTCAGTGAAGTCAGATAGACTGCATCTACCACTTGTCTTGTTTATTTCTTTGACCTACAGTTGTCTTATTCATGGAGGAGATTTTCATGCCTGTACTGTAGGATTTTTGAGATTGGACATCATGTGCTCCCAAGGTCTGCATAAAATAGTGCTTTATACAAGGAGCTACACCCAGGGACAGAAGGCCCTAAAGGTGTCCTCATGTCTAACCAGGTAGAGATATACCCAGAAATTAGGGGGCTCTTTGCTCAATCCTGTGAAATATTATTGTACTTGGTTCCATCTCTGAAACCAAAGTCAGTTTCCCTATAGAAACTACAACTATATGACTATGTAGTCAATATAAAACAACCATAAGCAAGCATGCAGAGAAAAAATAAGCTTATGATCAGAAGGTTATTGGTTATTTCTGAGTTTTCTTGTTATTAAGCATTTGCTACAAGTTCATTTACTTTGTTGTATGTGAGTTTCGGGAAACATTTGTGGGGGAAATTTTAAAATGGAGATGATTCTCAGCATTGACTTAATTCTTTCCCCCTTGCACATTTGGAAAAATGGGGAAATTCAACTTTAATGACAAAACATCTTAGGAAGGGTCACAGAACTTCAGGATACTATAAGATCAAACTCTTCATTTCCCAAAGGAGAAATGAGACCCAAGGACATGAAGATCATAACCCAGATTATAGATTTTTTTTATGCCCTTATATACCAGGTAATTTTTTTTTTTTTGAGTTGGAGTTTCACTCTGCCACCTAAGCTGGAGTGCAGTGGCATAATCACAACTCACTGCAACCTTGACCTACTGGGTTCAGGTAATTCTTCCACCTCAGCCTCCCAATTACCTGGGACTACAGGTGCATACCATCACACCTGGCTAATGTTTTTATTTTTATTTTTTTAGAGATGAGGCCTCACTATGTTGCCCAGGCTGGTCTCAAGCTCCTGGGCTCAAGCAGTCCTCTCACCTTGGCCTCCCCAAATGCTGAGATTACAGGTGTGAGCCACTGTGTCTGGCCCCAGATATGTAGTTTTTTTTTTTTTTTCTTGCATGTTTCACATAGAATAACTCATGCAATCTTTACAACAACCCAGCGAGGGGGTTACTACTATTCCCCCCATTTCATCGATGAGAAAACCAAGACCCAGGGAGACTAAGCGGTTGGTGGGGCCGGCCAGGTGTGGACACCAAGCCGCTGACTTGCAGGGTAGCGCAGTGTCTCCCAGCCCCTCGATTGCTCCACTAGTGGCCTTAAGGCCGTCGCCACCCACATTGTCCCAAACCACCGCCCCCAGCTCCTGGACTAGCAGGCGCCCAGAAGGGGGTGGAGAGGGGACTAGGACCTGCTTTGAACTTGGCAATGGCGCTGAAGAGCGCGGCCGCCCTCTCGGAGCAGGCGTCGATGAGGCTGACGGTGTCGTGGCCGCTGTGGAAGGCGAACTTGCAGAAGGTACAGAGCAGCTCGTCGTCGCTGCGGCAGTACTCGATGATGCGGCTGGACGGGTGGTGAATGCAGATCTTCTCGTCCTGGTCCTCGGGGCTGGTGTCCACGAAGACGTGGTCCTGCATGGTCACGTCCGTGTGGAAGGCCTTGAGGCAGTCGTTGCACAGGTTGAGGCGGCAGGTGATGCAGCGTTTGTAGGCCACGCGCCGGCTGCGGCACACCTGGCAGAGGATGGGCCCGGAGGAGCGGTCGAAGCGCCACTTGAGGTAGCCGTGCTGCTGCATGTAGCGCTTGGTGAGGCGCCCGCGCAGGTAGTTCTCGGGCAGCTGCATCTTGTTGCTGTAGGGCATGCAGTGCGAGCGGTTGCACACCGGGCAGATGAGGATGAAGAAGTTCTCGGTGACCTCGGCGCGCTTCTGCAGCTTGCGCAGGCACTTCTCGCACAGGCTGTGGTGGCAGGGCAGCATGAACGAGTGCAGGCGCAGCCGGTTGCACATGGGGCAGGTGAGGTGGTCCACCAGCTGGCTGCTCGCCGGCATCGACTTCAGCTCATCCACCTGGGTGTCGCTGCTCCCCACGCGCAGGGCGGTCTTGGAGCTGAAAGCAGAAGCAGACACTGGCTTCAGGAGGCAGGCTCAAGAGTTGGCCGGGTTAACCTCCCAGAGGATACTTGGTCATGGAGGGCAGACCAGTGTGGTGGGAAGGAGGCTAAACCTGGTGCGAGGGTGCCTGGGTTCTAAACCTGCTCCCACCATCCTTTTGAGGGGAACAGGTTAGCCTCTCTACTTGTTTGCTCGTTATAAAATTAGTGTTGTTTCCGAGAGAATTACGGTTGAGAGTAATACCTGTAAGGGCTGAGAAAAGTCCCTGGAACAAGTTAAGATTTACAACTGCTTGTTGTGATTTTTGAGCAGGAGAAAAGCAACAGAGACCAGCCAGGCCTTGGTATTCTGTCGGACACCAGTAACATCAAAGCACACCAGCCAAGGCCACTCTGTGACTGAGATCGGTCAAAGCAGAAACATAACCACTACATAATGTTTGGATTCAGACAAGAACATTGTCCAAACTACAATGACCTAAGGTCCCTTTATCCTGGTTAATGGGAATGCCTGCTTCTTCCTTTTTTTAAATCAGTTGTAGCTTTAGGGTTACTCTGTTCTTCCTGTTCTAGATAAGATTTATTAAGATACCCAATAGGAGATTTGCCCCCTTGTCCTCACCTAGCATGAGCCCAAATACTATAATAACTTATTGATGCCTTCTTACTGAGGTACCTCACACCGGCCTATGGTTTATGTTCTCATTTGTTGCAATGAGTCAATAAATCCAATCTTGTCCAACTACAGGTGTGCTCTTGGTGGTTTCTGCCTGGAGGGTATTGACATTATTATGATGATTGTTGTCGTATGTAGGATGTAGGAGAAGAATGGGTAACAGGTAAGTGTTCTTTCAAGAACACCAGGAGGCCCATGCCTGAACCATGCCTAGAGCCCCTGAGAGCTATTAAGCAGACCAGTAGGTGATGGTGAAGGGTCTGGGCTCTAGAAACAGGCTGTATATGATGGAATGCACCACTTTAGAGGTGCACCTTTGTGATGAGCTTCTGAAATCTCTCTTGTCTTACATTTCCTCATTTGTAAATCAGTACGACTTCCTTCGTGAGATCTTTATAAAGTCTAATTGAGACACTCCATGATAAGAGTTTAGCTGCTGGTACACAGTAAGCATTATTACTCCCTTCTGCAACTAACCAGCTAATGTCTGCAGTAGAAAAAAATCACAGCAGAGGAAGATAGTGGCCAAGTCCATGTAAAAAGTCTACTGTTGTATTTGTGTGTATTAAGGTTCTTTATTTGTCTAACGTCTGTGGCTGATTTTGTATATGTAATTGTAACAAGTATGGATGAAGTAGAAGTATACTTGTAGAACTCAAATGCATGTTCGAAGAAGTTACAGTCAGAGCAAAAGCAGATTAGGAAAGTAAATGAATTAGCTGTGGCATGGAGGTGTAAACAGGCCCACAAATGTAAGACGAGAGATTCAGGAGCTCATCACAAAGGTGCAACCCTAAAGTGGTACCTCTAAAGTGGAATATTTATAACAGTTCCTCTCTCTTCTCCTCTGTTCACATAGTAATATTTGGGCATTGATGTTGCCACTGTGGCACTGTGTTCCTTTCTGCTTTTGCCTTCTTGCATTTTCTATGTCTCTGTTTCCTTTCCCACTCCCTTGGCCAGACCTAAGTCTCAGAGCCCAGACAGTCAAAGGTGCTTCCTGAGCATACTGGATGGATGGTCCTATGGTGACAGAGAATGCCTTGTGTAGACTATGGCACCTAGACATGCTGAGCTCCAGACATGTTGTCCTCAATTCTGTCTCCTCTCTGTTTTCCCAGCCTCCTGCTTGGGCCCTGAAGGGGTCACCTGCAGGTATAGGCCAATTGTACATGTGGCAGCTGGATGAACTTCTTTGGTTTGGTCAAAAAGTAGGGCTCTGCGAATGAAGGTGCAATATAAAGAGAGGCTGTGATGAGGCCTTCACAGTGATGTGCCTACTGGGAAAGAGGGAGGGAAGAGGTGTTCCAGGAAGAGAGAGAAAAAGGAATAAGACACAAGTGTTAATGGCCCAGGGAGTGGTGGTAGAGGTGAAAAAAAGTGAGAAAAAATGTAAGGCAGAGAGGGGTGAAGGAGACCAGAGTGAGGCTAGACGATCAAGCTGCTGAGCAGAAAGTGGTGAGGCAGAACAGGGGACAGAGGTTCAGAAACCAGGAGAGCATCAGGTGGAAGACAAACACCCAGAGCTGGAGCCGGCCACCTGACAATTGTGATGCCATCTCTGCCCGTTCTCCAAAAGCCTCAGGCTTGGACTGGACATCCAGTGGCCATGGTTCTACTCTCCAACAATCGCCAAGCCCAGCAGCCCTGTCTTCTTGCTGAGATATCCTGCCTCTGCTGCTCTGCACAGCTTCCTCCACCTCCCAAAGTCAGGCTGCTCTTGCACCCGAGTTCCTACTGTATCCCCTGGCAGGTCTCTGGGCGTCCCTCCTACACATGAGAATCACCTGAAGGGGGGTGGGGGTTTTACAGTACGCATGCCCAGACCAATTTGTAGAAATCAAATGTGTGTTCTAAGAAGTTACAGTCAGAGCAAAAGCAGATTATGAAAGTACATGAATTAGCGTGGAATGGAGGTGTAAACAGGTCCACAATTTGTAACTGTTCCTCTCTCTTCTCCTCTGTTCATGTAGTAATATTTGGGCACCAGACCAATAAATTCAGAATATTTGGGGGTGGAGACCAGGCATCGGTGTTTTTTAAAGAACCCCAGATGATTTCAACACACAGCAAAATAGAGAAGCTACTGATACCTAAGCCATCTTCCCAAAGCACCAGTTTTATCCCTCTCCTGTTGAAATGGGCTCAGTGATCCTCAGTTACTGACGCATAGAGAATGGACTAGTTGAGAGGAGTGTGGACACTACTATCCACACCCTAGGATTTCTGGACTTGTATCCAGAATTCCTGGATCCTCTATTCATGCAAACACCATGAGAGGGCCATCAGTAGAGAATAACGCTTGTTAAGCATCTACTGAGTGCTTAACTGCTAATGGATCATTTTCTCCCCTGAATTCACCAAACCTTTGTCCACAGAATTGCTTTCTCTACCTTGAAAGCCTTCAAACCTGCCTCCCATATTTCTACCTCTTCTAATCCTGTCATCTTACAGTGCTGTCATCTGTCCTCTTCTAAGAAGGTTGCTCTCACTACTTTAGACTCCCCTCACATGTGACATAAAAGGATTGGGTTAGTAGATCAGGAATAGGAGAGCTAGCACCCCAAGTAGGAAATGGAGACCCTGAAATGGAGAGTTAACACCGCAAGTGAGAAACGAAGACCCTGACATGGAAAGTTAGTACTTCAAGTGAGAGATGGAGACACTGACCAACATGACTTCTACATGAGAGAAAAAAGAAAAAAGAGAGAAGGCAGGTAGGAGTTTGTGATGTCTGGGGTGCAAATATGGCCATTGGGGTCAAAAGTGACTGTGGAAATTCTTACTTTTCCAATGAATGTTGCAGATATTAAGAGTTCACAGAAGGAAGAGAGAGAGCAATTTATATTTTTATATCATCTTCAGATTATAAAGCACATATGAATCCTCATAACTACCATGTCATGGCAAGTATTGTCTCCTTTTGCAGTACAACATTTTAAAGTTATGACCACAGACTCCGGGTTCAAATTCTGACTCTACATCTTACTACCTATGCAACCCTGGGAAACTTAAACTCTCAAAGGCTCAGTCTCCTCATGGATATAGTGGATGTGGGGTGAAGTTAGCTGGGGCCATGAGTGCAGTGCCTGGCAAGTTGCTTAAGCACTAGGTATTTCTATTTTGAACAGATGACAGAGTTGGGGTTAGAAGAGTGCAATGCTTATTCGCATGGTTAATGGAGCTTGGATCTGGAACTCAGGTTCTACCCCAGGTTAGTTTAGGATACACTCAATGGTCACAAAATTCTTGGGTCCTTTTTTTTTTCAGATAGAGCAATGGCCTCAGGGGAGCACTGGCCTGCCCTGTGGGCTTCACAGCTGGCAAGGGGTCCCCGTTTTCCTGAGCCAACGGGGTCCCCATCGAGTACCCAGCACTTACGAGGTGCGAATGCTTTTGAGGCGGCCCTTGCGGAACGTGATGGTGGTATTGCGGCAGCAGTGGCTCTCATAGTAGTAGAACTTGACATTACTGCTGGCTGTGCAGCAGTACTTACAGTTGGGATCATTGGCCCAGGAGCAGCAGCACCAGTGGCAGTTGGGGTTGTCAGCACAGGTGCAGTGGCAGAACTGGCAGTTCCTCTCATCCTTGTAAGGGCAGGGGAAGCAGGTGCAATTCCTCTCGGAGGTGAAGATGAACTTGCAGCACAGACAGGAGCATAACCGAGGACAACATCTTTGCCATGTACAGCATGGAGAGCAAACACACATAGCAGTGTCCATGGTGTCTCATAATCATTACCCACTCCCCAGGACTCTTGATGGCTCCTCTACCAGGATTCTGCTGTCAGTTCTCCAATGAAGGGGTCCCTCCTCCCCCTGGTGAGGCTGTCAGCTTGGGGGTGGCAAGAAGTTGACTGTTACGAGGGCTTTGCAGGTAGTGTCTCTACAGGAAGCTCATGGGCTGGCAGTTACTTACAGCAGCCTGAGGGCATTTGCTTATGTCACAATCCCTGTCTCTTTACCAACCTGGAGGGTAGTAGAATGAGGCCTGGGGCATGGTGGCAGCTTTGTTGATGGGCACCCCATGATTCCGGAGGAGTGTTGATGCAATGAGCATTCTGGAGGTTTGGCTGTCACTTGTTACCTTTTGAGTTACGGGGCCTATTTCCAAAGCTGTTTCTCCTTACTTGGTGCTTTGCCTGCAGTTTGGAAAAGTTGACTTTGTGATATGTCTTCATAGACTGAAAGGCCTGGGTATGGTTAATTGGAAAAGCAGATTGACATGATTTTCCTCTCCTTGGACTCTTTCTGCTTTGATGGAACTCTATTTGATGAACAAAGCACAGTATTTACAAATAATAGCAATGGGGTCCCATTCAAAGAAAGAAGGAAAGGGAAAAGGATATAGGTTCATTCAGGCACTTCTTTTAGTAGTCATTGAAGTTGTCAGTTGCTGTACAGTCACTGCTTGTTTTCATGAAGCTTCAGGCCTAAGTTACTCTGAGTGTTTCTTGGTTTTTCTTCATGGGGTTTGGCTGAGGCTCAAGATTTTTTTCTCCCCCACCCTACTCCTACTCCAACCTGATTCCTTTTATCAAGAGGCCAGAACTCTACTTGAGGATCTTTAACTGTTCTGCTAGTATATGCTTAGAATCCCTCGAAACAAACCAACCCCTATAGTTTAAGAGACAATGTCACTTTCCGTTTTATACAGCTTGCAAAGATTAAAAGAGCAGAAATTTCATGGTCATTCTACATTATAGTATGAACAACTCTTGTTATTTTCCCAAAAAGAAGCAAAGTGAAAGCTGAATTTGGCTGCAGGAGCTTACTGCATAATTTATTCTCTCTCCCTATGATTATCACCTTTATGATAGAAAAGGACATTCACCGAGTGCTGACTGTGCCAGCCACACATTGATATTAGACTTCTATGAGTGAAAATTCTGGATCACAGGGGAATATGCTTTATCTTTTTTTATAGATATTACTAAATTGCTTATTCAGATAAATGTGCCAGTTCATACTGACACCAGCAATGAATGAGAGACACCCTTTCCCCACATTTTTGGTCAAATTTAATTGTATTAATATTTCTCTCCATCTTCAGGCACAGAAATTTGAATTTTCTTCCTAGACTTATGGGGCATCATCATCACTGGTCTCTGTAAGGCTTACTTTTGGTTTAAAATGTTTTAAAAATAAGATATGATTCATTTATTTCAGTACATTTATAAAATTGTTCAACTCTCACCTTTATCTGACTCCAAGATATTTTTTATCACCTCCCAAAATACACCCATTAGTAGCCATTCTCTAGTGCCCTTTCCTTCAGCCCTTGGCAAGCAATCTACTTTCTATATTTATGGATTTGCCTATTGTGGACATTTCATATAAATGGTATCGTACAATACGTGGCTTTTGTGTCTGGCCTCTTTAATTTAGCATGTTTTCAAAGTTTATACATGTTGTGGCATTTTTCAGTATTTCATTTTTTATGGTTGAATAATTTTGTATAGATAAACTGCTTCTTGTTTACTCATTATCAGTTGATGGACATTTGGATTGTTTCCATTTTCCAACTATTATAAATGTTGCTGTGAGCATTTGTGTACAAGTTTTTGTATGAATATGTTTTTGATTCTCTTGGGCATATATTTGGGAGTGAAATTGCTGGGTCATATCTAACTCTATATTTAACTTTTTGAGAAAATGTCAAACTGTTTTCCAAAATGACTACATAATTTTACACTCCTACCAGCAATGTATGAGGGTTACAATTTCTTCACATCTTTACCAAAACTTTTTATTATCCTTTATTCCCTTCTTTTTTTTAAATTTTATTTTTCAAATTTATATAGATTTAGGTAGAGATGAGGTTTCACTACATTGCCCAGGCTTGTCTCGAACTCCTGGACTCAAGCAATTCTGTCACATCAGCCTCCCAAAGTATTGGGATTACAAGCATGAGACACCACACCCAACCCCTTTTCCCCCCTCTGATTACAGCCATCTTAGTAGATATGAAGTGGGATCTCATTATGGTTTAGATTGAATTTCTCTGATGGCTTGGGATGCTGAGAAACTTTCCATGTGCTATTTGGCCATTTGTATATCTTCTTTGGAGAAATGTCTATTCAAATCTTTTGCCCATTTTTAAATTGAGTTAGTTGACTTTTTATTGTTGAGTTTTAAGATCTCTTTATATAAACTAGATGCTAGATCCCTACCAGATATATGATTTGCAGCTGTTTTCTCCATTTTATGGATTGTCTTTACAGTTTAAAATAGTATCCTTTGAAGTGCAAATTCGGAAGTCAAATTTATCTCTCACTCTTTTTTTTTTTTGTAGCTTACTCTTTTGGTGTCATTTAAGAAACCACCACTAATCCAAGATCATGAAGATTTACACCTACGTTCTCTCTCAATGGCTTTATAGTTCGAGCTCTTACTCTTAGGTATGCAATCCATTTTGAAATAGTTTTTGTATTTTGTGGAGGATAGGGGTCCAATTTTGTGGAGGATAGGGGTCCATCCTTTTGCATGTGTATATCCAGTTGCCTCAGCAACATTTGTTGAAAAGACTATCTTTTCCCATTGAATGGTCTTGAAACCATTGTTGGAAATCAGTTGACTATAGGTATATAATTTATTACTGGACTCTCAATTCTATTCCTTTGATCTATAGTCTACCCTTATGCTAACCACACTGTCTTGATTCCTGCAGTTTTGTTTTGAAATGAGCAAGTGTGAATTCTCTACTTTTGTTCTTCTTTTAAGATTGTCTCAGATATTTTGGGCCCCTGTATTTCCATATAAATTTCAGAATCAACTCTATTGTTTTTGCACAAAGTCCACTAAACTCTTGATAGATGCTGCATTTAAATCTGTAGATAAATTTGGGAATATTGTCATCTTAATATTGTTAAGTTTTTAAATGTATAAACAAATTTATTTAAGTCTTCTTTAATTTCTTTCAACAAAATTTTGTCGTTTTCAGTGTACGACATGTCTTGTTATTATATGGCTAAGTTTATTCCTAAGTATTTTATTCTTTTGATGCTGCTATAAATAAGAATAATTTTCTTAATTTTATTTTTGGATTGTTCATTGTGAACATGTAGAAATACCACTGATTTTTCTATATTGACTTTTCTATTGATTTTTCCTACATATCTTGCAATCTTGCTGAATTCAATTATTGCTTTTTTTAATTTTAAAAGATATATATATGTGTGTGTGTGTATATATATATATATATATATATATATATATATATATATATATGTATATATATCTTCCTGTCATTTGTGAAGAGAGATATTTGTACTTTTTTTCTTTCTATTTGGATGACTTTTTTTGTTTTCTTGCCTAATTGCCCTGGCTAGATCTTTGAGTTCAATGTTGAAGAGAACTGGCAATAGTGAACATTCTGTGTTGTTCCTAATTGTAGGGGAAAAACTTTCCGTTTTTTATCATAAGTATGATATTAGCTGTGGGTTATTCACAGATGTCTTTAATCAGATTAAAGAAGTTTCATTTTATTTCTAATTTGTTGAGTGTTTTTTTCTTCTTTTTATTATGAAATGGTATTGAACTTTGTCAGATACTTTTTTTTCCTGTATCTATTGGGTGGTTTTAGTCCTTTGTTCTATTAATATACAGTTTAACATCATTTGGCTTTTATATTCTGGATCAATCTTATGTTTCTGATATAAATTCTGCTTGGTTATCAGGTAGTCTTATATTTTTTGGACTTGGTTAGTTAGTGTTTTGTGAAGGAATTTTGTATTTATCTTCATAAGGAATATTGGTCTACAGTTTTGTTTTCTTGTGATGTCTTCAGTTTGGTATAAGCTAAGACTGGTCTCAGAATATGCTAACAAATGTTTCCTATTCTTTTATTTTTTTAGAAGAGTTTGTGAAGCACTGGTGTTAATTTTTCTTTAAACATTTGGCAAACATTTTCACCACTAAAACCATCTGATCTGGTCTTTTCTTTGTGGAACCCTTTTTGATTATTAACTGAATCTCTTTACTTAATATAGGCTTATTAAGACTTTCTATTTTTCTTAAGCTAATTTTGATAGTGTCTTTTAAAGAATTTTTTCCATTTCATCTAGGTTATCTAATTTCATGGCATACAGTTGTTAGAATATTCCATTACATCTTTTTAATGTCTGTTAGATTGGTAGCTGTATCCTCTCTTTCATTATCAAATTTAGTAGTTTTCCCCCCTTTTTTATAGTAAGTCTAGCTAGATGCTTGTAAATTTTGTTGATATTTTTAAAGAACTCAGTTTAGTTTCGGTTAATTTACTCTACTCTTCCTATATAATCTTACATTTATTTCTGTTATAACCTTTAATATTTCCTTCCTTCTGCTTGCTTTAGGTTTAGTTTGTTTTTACTTTTCTAGTTTATTAAATTGAGGGGTTAGGTTATTAATTTGAGATCTTTTTTAAGTAGGCATTTACCCTCTGAGCCTTACTTTGTCTGGATATCATAAGTTTTGGTATGTTATATATATATATTTTTCACCCATATCAAAGTATTTTCTAATTTATTGTGTGATTTCTTCTTTGATCTATTGGCCATTTAGGAGTAATTATTTAGTTTCCACATATTTGTGAATTTCCAAAATTTCCTTCGGTTATTGATTTGTAATTTCATTTCGCTATGGTCAGAGAATACACTTTGTAAGGGTTCAATCCTCTTAAATGTATTGAAACTTGTTTTATGGTCTAACATAAAATATATTCTGTATAATTTTCCATGTACATTTGAGAAGTATATATATCTGCTGTTGTTGGAGAGAGTGTTTTAGTTCTGTTTTCTTAATAATCTTGTGTTGAGTTTTATCCATTTTTAAAAGTTGGCTACTGAAGTCTTTGAATATTAATTAATGAATTGTCTGTTTCTCCCTTAATTTCTGTCAGTTTTTGCCTCCTGGATTTTGGAAGTTTATTGTTAAATGCATAATGT